ATTATAGTTAAAGAGTAATCATTTTGAGTACTCGTTACTAAAAAAAGGTAGCGGTGTTAGTAACGCCGTTACTTTCAACGCCGTTACTCCCATCACTGACAGCAGGTAATTTATCGCTGCTAACTTCTCCCTTAAGACCAAGTACAAACATTTTTTAACTCCAAATTAAACATAACACACTAAACCCGTCTTCAAACTACTCTCCAGCAAAACGATAATAACGTCAGTGTCCCCCGTGTTTTAATGTCGTACCGAAAAAGCAGTGAACGACTTTTTGTTCCGCTTTACATTTTCTAATTTCCACTGGATAATCTTTTGTTTTATATGATACAGCATTTTATTTGATTTAATACAGCCATATTATGTGAATTAGAGAATTATTATTTCATTAGATCAATTCATTAATTGAAACGCATAAAAATGGAAATTTGCACAGAGACTAAGGGAAAAATAATAAGATTACAATATCATTGCAGAATAATGAAAATATTTTATATGCAGGCCCCAGGGCTGAAGGAAAAAGCATATTTACAAATAAAACAAACCATAACAAACACTCATTTCAAATCTTTTTTTATTATTTATTACAATGCAAAACATTAAAGGAATACATTATACATACTAACAGCCGCAAGGGGGACACAAGCGGAGACAATGTTTTCTTAGACACATATTGCACAAATATATTGCTAATATTGTAAATGGTACATAAGGTGCAAGTTTTAACTGCTTTGACATTGGAGGACATTCCGATAGTTTCAATATATTGTTTGAACTAATTTTTTTCAAAAATAGAAAAAAGTGTTTTTTTCGTTGGTGTGATAATAATTGTACATTATTAATCTCTTACTGGAGAAATTGACCTCTGCATTTTACCCATCGCCTTGGGATCTTTTCATATAGTAAAATCAGATTTTTTTTTCATCACTTAGTAGTTAAGTATTGCTTTTACCAAATATTGTTTGCTTTTCAATAAGTCCTTGGAGAGCTATATTCTGTTTTACTTGGGTGTGAATATTCCAGTGTAGTGCATGTGTTAATCGTTTGATACTCAAGGCAAAGTTATTTATATAGCACAATTCAGTATAAAGACAATTTTAAGCAAATTGATTAAAATTACCTTCAGGAGAAATATAAAAAAAAAAGAAAAAAATCAGAGTACAAGTAAAAAAAGATGAAAGCATGATGAAAGCAGGTAGTAAAACAAACAAAACAGCTGGACCACAACTTAAACTCAACACCTCTAGTATCAATTAGACAAATAAGCCCCAAACCAATTAAGCATTTTATTATAGAGGGATACTCTGTGCCTTTACCAAGACAAGGTTGAATCTGCTCCATAAACTACGGTTGGAAAGAATGACTATGAATCAAATATGCCCAGGAATCCTTCCCACCCCTCTGCAGAGGAGGGGTTGAGGTGGACTTTTTCCACATTGCAAAAATCTCTTGGCAGATATGAAATTAAGAATGCTCACAATATAACAAATGTTTCTGCAAAAACACTGCAGACACATGCAGGACAAAAGCCACAAAGAGAAAACAAGAAACCCCAGAACCAAATTAGAGTCACTAAGCCATTTGTAATGATCTGACATCACTGCACACGTAAGGCCTTTTTCCGTAAAAGAGGTTAAACACAAAGCACTTGTGAACTATCTATGTTCTGTGCAAGAGTAAATAAATCAACCCAGCACACATTCTTCTACTACATCCTTTTCATTTTTGATATGACCTAACATTTCACCTTATTGGATGTCCAATCCAAAACTTCTCTGTAAAAACTGTAAAAATCTTTTATTATCTCCAATAAAACAGTGACTAGAAAAGGCTAGATACAGCAGTAGAATAGTCTATTCACAACACTCATGAATATGAGTTATGTTATTAAATTACATTGTGTGAAAGGATAAATCAGCATGTTCATTGACATTTATTCACAAATAATTAGCAGATAGGCAATGGTAAGATTGTGTAATACCTTCTTTTTTTGTAATTTGGCTCAATATTAATAATAATAATGACTTAAATTAAGCTGAATGGTATCCCCGTTGGATTACCATCTTGATTGATTTGTACAGATTGCTGTTTAGTCAATAGGAAAAAAAAGGATACTGATCCACAGTTTTTACACTGTAGGCCTCAGCTGTTGGATTTGACATATTATTGTACAGTAATGAGGACAGTTTTACAGAATTTTTAATCCTTTTTTTGTTTTGTTTTTTATATAGTAAGATCATGATTTATTTAGTTTCAGGGACTGAGGCTATGAGTGCTGACTGGGGTGACCCCTGGTAACGGGATATTGTGTGTGTTTTTTTTTTTGTTTCTATTAGTTTATTGCCAAGAACTTTCTTTTTCCTTTGCTGTTTTGTAGTGCCTAGGCTGCCCCCCTTTGCTTTTACTGGATACTGATAAGTCTCAGTCCCCCTGATGTGATCTTAGTTAAAGCTTTGAATTCACTTTAAAATTCTCTGTAGGCTTTCGTTTACTATAATATAACCAGTCTTTTAAGAAGGCTTTCACAGGCTTTATACTGACATAATTATTGCCTCTCACCAAACCTCTGCAGCTCTTTTAGTGTACCTCTATATGCCTCTTTATGCTGAGTGAACCCTTTGCCTGAAAGCAAATAAGCACTCTCACACTGGAATAATTTCAACAGTGTTGACAAAAAGTAAATTAAGAAGTGGGCATTTGTTGATATATACAATTTTGGTTGAAACGAGTCAGAATTCAACTTTTGTCTGAACCTTTTAAGGACTTTTCTTAGTGACTACTTTTTACATTCACTTGAGTAAATATGTGTTGATGTTTTGCCCTATACTCTATGCCCCCAGTTTAGCTCCCCATTTAATTTTTTTTATCTTTTTACCTTGTGTTTGCATTTCTTTTTATTTTATTCATAGGTATAAAAAAAATAAATCCGTATGAGTACTTAAAGCTTTCATTGCAAGTTCTTTCTATTACCGGTATATCTTTTAGCCTCCCAACCCTGTACACGCATCAGACCTATAAATAAAGCTGGCTACTGTAAGTTGGTTGTGTTATGAGATGCACCTCCAATGACCCATGCCAAGTCCAACTCAGGTTTTGTATATTTATTTTAGAACTAAAACAATGTCTTACATTGTTTATGGTTAATGAAATATGAAGATAAAGCGTTAGTGTCAGTCATAAAAACAGTTTAAGAGGAGCTTTCACTCAACAAACCGATGGGTCGCAAGTATCAGGTAAATAACATGCATCACACCACAACATCTACCATGCTCAAAACAACACAAACATTAACTTTGGCTCTAACATTTTAAATTGTTTACAATCCTCTGGTAAACTCATAAAAGGAAGATTATAATGCAAACCTTATTTATTGCATAAGAATTGTTATTAGTCCCTTTTAAGTTAAATATTTAATCATCACATTAATAATTTTTGAAAAATGGATAATGTGATGATTAAATCACATTATCCTTAAGGATAGACAGGATACAAAGAAGAATAAGTGTACAATTCTGAGTAGTTTTAACAATGAGTCAATTCAAGATATTAAAACAGAAAATACAACAAAATTTCATATATAATCATGACTTGGAAAGCCTAATGCCTTTGTGGTTGTCATTAAATAACTGGCAGTATACTGTACTAAACATGAATTGAAATGAAAATCTTTTGATAAATATTGTATGACATTTACACTGATATTGATACAATCTTATTATAATGTGCAAATAACTCGCAGTCTATAAGTTCATATATAAAAAAAAACACACACACACAATTTCATTTTAGAAACCTATAAAGAACACTTAACTTAAAAAGTTTTACTTTCCAAAAACGAAAATTTAAATGTAAGAGGCTAGTTTTAAGTATTTCAGTTGAAACTCTTATCTGAAATACATTTTACTTATCTGCTAGTGTTTACAATGTTATCCTATGCTTGAGGTTCACATTAGACCATCTTGCCATTGTGAGTTCTTCCATAAATTGGACATTGTTATTAGGGCAGGGCAATATGGCTAAAAAATTTATTTTTGGTATTTTTCCTACCAATTTTTATAATCTCTTCTCGATTATATTTAATTATAAAATATGATAAATTAAATACATTAATGTAGTGCCTTAATGGAAACAAACCCCTATTTTCCAGTAAGTCCCCCTAAACATAAAATTGAATGAATTGATCCAATCAATTTTCTACAGAGCCCTACTTTTAGTGGAAATATTTTCACATGTCATATTTTCACATGACAAACTGGCATCTTCCCTGCATGCGTTCTCATGTGACGTTTTAAATCATATCTATTTTTAAAACCTTTTTCACAAATCACACAGGAGAAACGTCTTTCACCTGTGTGAGTGGTCATGTGATAAGTTAAACCACTTTTTTCACCATAGCATTTTCCACATGTTGGACATGCGAAAGGTTTCTCACCTGTGTGAGTCCGCATGTGATAAAGTAAACAATTTTTTGTAATGTAACCCTTCCCACAAATACTGCAAGAGAAAGGCTTCTCCCCTGTGTGAGTTCTCATGTGATTTATTAAACTCTTTTTATCACTCAGCCCTTTTTTACAAATTACACATGAGAAAGGCTTTCTGCCAGTGTGAATTCTCATGTGAACTGTTAAAAGGCTTTTATAACTGAAACGTTTTTCACAGGTAATGCACCTGAAAGGCTTCTCACCTGTGTGGGTTCTCCTGTGAACTAATAAAAGGCTTTTAAGACTGAAACCTTTCTTACACGTAATGCACATGTAAGGCTTCTCACCTGTATGGATTCTCATGTGAATAGTTAATGAGGTTTTACGACTGAAACTTCTTCCACAAGCAACACACGAGAACGGTTTCTCACCTGTATGACTTCTAATGTGAAGAGTTAAACTATCTTTGGCAGTAAACCTTTTTCCACAGGTAACACACAAGAAAGGCTTCTCCTTTGTGTGGGTCCTCATGTGACGTGCCAAGTTGCCTCTACTGTTGAACCGTTTTTCACAGGTGATACATGGGAAAGGTCTTTCTTCACTGTGAGTTTTCATGTGACGTGCTAGATGACTTTTATCAGTGAACCATTTTTCACAGGCCTTACATGAGAAAGGCCTCTCGCCGGTATGAGTTCTGATGTGATAAGTTAAACCACTTTTTTTACGGTACTTCTTTCCACATGTCTCACATGAAAAAGGTTTTTCGCCTGTGTGAGTTCTAATGTGTTCAGTTAAATTAGTTCTATCACAGTAACTCTTCCCACAGATCTCACAGGAGTGAGGTTTCTCACCTGTGTGACTTCTCATGTGATTGGTTAAACCAGTTCTATCACAGTAGCTCTTCCCACAGATCTTACATGAAAAAGGTCTCTCTCCTGTGTGACTTCTCATATGATAAGTTAGCCCACTTCTATCACAGTAACTCTTTCCACAGATTGTACATGAGAAAGGCTTCTCACCCGTGTGAGTTCTCATGTGATAAGTTAAACCACTTTTATCATAGTAACTCTTTCCACAGGTCTTACATGAGAAAGGCTTTTCACCTGTGTGAGTTCTCATGTGAGAATTTAGACTATTTCTTTCACTATATCCCTTTCCACAGGTCGTACATGAGAAGGGCTTCTCACCTGTGTGACTTCTCATGTGATATATCAAACCATTTTTTGTACAATAACTTTTTTCACAAGTCTTACACGAGAAAGGTTTCACAGTTGTTCGAGTTGTCAAGTCTGTATTCAAGTGACTGTTTTGAGAAAATATGTTACCAAACATTTCATAAGAAGATGCATTTTGGTCTTGGTGCATTTTCTGGGGTGTGTTTTGTTTTGAACAGTTGGCAATCACTTTCTGTTGCTTGGTTTTCTGGCATCTCTCTCTTTTTTCTGAAACTTTATGTCTCTTTTTGCCTGGGGCTTCAGAATAGCTGCCTTCTTGATCCTGGGTCTCAAATTCAGGGAATGCCTGAAAGATGAGCTGGTCCCTGTCATTGTGGAGGGTTTCCTCATTAAAAGGAAACGCCAAAATCTCACCAATCTCATGTTTCAGTAAATGCTGCTCTTCATCTTGACTGATGCAGAGTTGCTTCTCTTCCTCTTTGATCTGTATATGTCTTACTTCCTCTTGTCCCTGGTATATTTGCAAAGGTTCTGGCTCTTCGTGGTCTAAAGTGAAGTTCCCCTCCTGATGGCTGAGCTCAGAAAAAAGTCCTTCCTCTTTAAACAGACGATTTTCTGGGAGATCTGGAAGAAAGAAAACAAAAGTGCGCAGAGGTAAGTTAAAGAACCATTCACTTGAATACTTTAATGCAGCTACAAAGGGTTTATCACAAAATGAAACAAAAACAAACCTGACCAAAATTTTCTACAGACCAGAGGTGAAACAGAGGTCTAAAAACATGACATCAGAATGTCTTCAATATTTCAGGAAAGAAAATATTTATACAATACAAATATAAAACAAAAGGTTCAAATGAATAAAGTGTTCTGATCACATAAACCACTCAACAGTGGCATACAAAGACTTTTTGAAGAGCAAGGGGTGAAAAAAAAGGGAGCACATAAGGCACACCCTTACCACTACAGAAAACACTTAGGCACCAGTTTTAGCTTCCCAGAGGGCACATTAGCATGCAAGTTGGCCAGATATAGCGGCTGCTGTATCTGTGTTAATTGTGCTTTGGGTCTCGCTGTGTCCATAAAATGAACTCACTGGTTGAATTGTGGAGAATGTAAGCTTTTCAATGATGTCTAACACGTCTAAATTGGTAAAAATGTTACCGTTATTAGTTTCATGCTTTCTGAGTTATTAGTTGTAAACGGAATAAAAATGGTCGCTCGCGATCAGTTGGGTTGTGAGAAGTTAAGATATTATGTGTTTTTACATATCACAGACAGCTATTTATATGTTAAGAGGAAAATTACAACACATATCGCTTCAACAATAACTATCACTGTTATACTTCAAGTAGTGCTGTCCTACAGAACATGTGAAGAGATACAGAAGCAACAAAACAGCAAAACTCACAAATCAGTTTCAATCCAATTTCCCTTATTAACCTTAAAAAATCAAAGAATAAAAATGTGTCTAAGGAAAGATACCCTCCATTTTGCCAATTTCACCACTTATGTATTTCAATCTGTTTTCAATCTTTACAATACAGACTAAAGGGGATGTGCTTCAGGGCTCAGTGGTTAGTGCACACGCCCCATGTACAGAGGCCTTAGTCCTCAACGCAGCCAACCCGGGTTTGAATCTTTGCCGCATGTCTCTCATCCTCTCTCATACCCCCTTTCCTTTCAGCCTACTGTCCAAAAATCGAACCAATAGTGCGATAAACCCTCCCCTGACCCGCCAAAAAAATAAAGAAGTTTAAATTGCATTATTCTCTTTATTTACTGTTTATCAACTGAGACTTAAAGGAATAGTACACCCAAAACATGATTAGCCTTCATTTTCTACTCACCCCCATGCTGAACAACACTCTGGAGTACCTTTTT